GATGAATAAGAATGAATGGTTTTCACTCTGCCGCGTGCAAATCGATCTGTGATGCTCGACGCCGCAGAGGAGGCTCTCAAACGGGGGCAGGTTTGGGAACACCATGATTGTCAGCCACCTGAGAGAAAGAAAAAATCAAAAAAACGGCAAAGCTGTTGGCTTATTTTGTCAGACGGGTTCAAATGCCATACCCTGCCTTGTATTGCGTTTTATAACGATGAGCAAATGACTTTTTCACACAATAGACCTCATTTGCTCTCCTGTTTTTCCCCCTGCAAACTGACATTTTCCTTGGTTTATTTTGCAACCCCATCCGAACAAATCGCAATTCAACACTAGCATCCAATTCCTGCAAGAACAGCAACTGAAAAATATCACAGTTTGAAAACGAAGGATGAGCCGTGGCATATCGGAGACAAAAAAAAAAAATTGCTGACTGAGTTATGAAATTCCACTTGGCTTTGACTCTTAATAGATACATCGACTCCTGCGAATATTTTATCGGGTCACATCTTTGATCATGACAAAGACGTCACGATGTGATTTTATCTTGACTTCAAAGCGATATTGGCGCAACCCCAACCTTGAAATTCACGTCGACGCGCCCGTCGCCCGAGCTTGACAATTGACGGCGAACGCCACCTGGAAGGAGAGCATGTGTTAGAAGACGCGCTCGCGTCAAGAAAGGAGTTGGCAACGTTCTTTCGATAAAAAAAGCCTTGAAGAAGGCAGGCGGAGTGAGTGCGCACCTCGGCTGTGGGGGAGGATTTGCATAGGTAGACTTATGTGCTCTTCACCTCATCCTCGCTTTTGTTTTCATGTGACAACTGCCTGACAGCCCAGAAAATGGGACACGGGCACTGGAAAAAAAGGGCTTAGGAAACCAAGTGACTAAACCCAAACAGTTTGATAACCTCCAGCGGCGTTGCGGAAACATCCGGTCCAAAATGCAGACTGAGAAATGAAGAGCTTTTTTTGATCATCGTTGATCTAATAACAGTTCTCCTAAATAAAACCGACAAGTTATCGAATACGTTTGATTTGATGCCCAGAGATTATGATGTCATAATTCATATTTAATATGGACAGAGTCATGATTATGTGTGCTATTTACTCTCTCCCGCATGATAATTATACAGTATGTGAATGAGTTCATCTCGTGCATGAAGAACATGATCGTCTCCGCGTCTTCATGAGCGGGACATGAACGCACGCACACACAATTGTCATCATTTGGACTGTAAGCAGCACCACGCTGGATTTCAAATCAAACGAACGCCGATGAGCTTTAATCGCAGACGTTCGTCTTTAATGTGAGGGCGTTTACAGTACAGTACATCCAAATCAGGTACCCGCTGTAGGAATTCTAACAGTTCGGAAATGTAAGAGTGAACCCCCAGTTGCTCCTCAACTGAATAATTGAAACCAATCAATATATCGTCAAAATAATATAGTTCTAAAATGAACTAAGATACAATATAAACTGGAATTACTTTTAAGAAATGACACCAGGTTATGCGCCCCACCACCACCACCACCACCACCATCTGCCTGTGTGACTTTTGGAAAGTCTCTCGTTTTTGGGGGGAAGAAAATCTCTTTTTAGTTGGCGTGCAAATGACATAAAAATAAATCAATAAAGCGCCATGTTTTTACAAGTACCCGCACTCCCTCAAGTTGTCATAACTAGATCGCATGTGTTTACAACAACACTGAACTCTTACTGTTCCCTTGTTTACCTTCACCGGGCGCCCGCACCCTGTGCGATTGCGTGTCGATGCGACAATGGGCACACCTTGGCGTTATTTACCGTCACAATAATATGATCCTGGCTTTCGGCCAGCATCGCACTGGTACGCTTGCCACCGCCTCTTCTTTTCAGCTCGCCTTACATCTGCGCAGTCACGTTGGAGGCGGGATGGGGGGAAAACACCTAAACCGCTGAGGCAAGGACACACAAACAGTCGCACGCACAGGCGCGCACGCACGGGATGGAATCATTCTGTCCACAAAGGAGACGGCGGCATTCCCTTACTGAAAATCCACTGGGAAAACTCCAGCAATGGCTGCCAGCACGTTGTTCGCTAACCTCTTTTGGCAAGGAAGCGGATGGCTAATTAGTCTGATATTTTGACTGGAGTGTTGTCTGCCCAAATAGTTGCGGCGCGCTCGCCCCAATTGATCATGAATTCCACTCCAACAAAATACATGCGTTAAAGCAAGAATATGGTGATTTCATCGAATCTTATCGATTAAAACTGGATTGCCCGGTCAGTCCAGCATCTGCAAGGTGTGCGGTAGCCTAACGCAGTGCCATACTGGCCGAAGGCCATAGGGGTCATGTGGAACCCTGAAATAGATACCTCATGTGGAATACAGACTCAAAAGTGTGCCTGGTGGGGTTCCCCAGTGCCCCCCCACGGTTCCGCTGCCTCTGACTTAGATACAGTCGGTCTCGCGAAAATGTAGGGAGGTCGCAGCCCAAACCCAAGCACTTTTAATATGCGTGTTTCACGATGACGTTATGTTAGCTTAGCAATTAGCATGGCTTCTACAGCTTTCTCCTCGTACTCCCTTTGTGAGAACGATACTTGTAAGAAATGTCGTTTATTCGCCGCTGTGGAGGCGAGATGATGGAGGCTGTGAGTGCTGAGTTCCGAGCGAAACCGCAACGTGTTGAACGGGCTTTGATAGCCAACCGAAGCGTGTTGCTGAACTTGCTCTTGCTAGTTGCTGCGACGTGTCGCCTTGATCTTCCGACTACCCGTCTGCGGGTGATGGAAACAGCCTATCAAAGCTGCTGGCGGCCGCGATGGCCAGGACCAGCCCGGAAATAACCCTCCGTCGGTGAAAATTAACATCTTCCCGATATTATCGATGGCCACCCTGCCCTGATGTTATTGGACAGGTGGACTCAACAGATAAGTGTACACGCAGTGCCATACTGGCCGAAGGCCATAGGGGTCACGTGCAACCCTGAAATAGACACCTCATGTGAAATACAGACTCAAAAGTGTGCCTGGTGGGGGTTCCCCAGTGCCCCCACACGGTTCCGCTGCCTCTGACTTCGATACAGTCGGTCTCGCGAAAATGTAGGGAGCTCGCAGCCCAAACCCAAGCACTTTTAAGATGCGTGTTTCACGATGACGTTATGTTAGCTTAGCAATTAGCATGGCTTCTACAGCTTTCTCCTCGTACTCCCTTTGTGAGAACGATACTTGTAAGAAATGTCGTTTATTCGCCGCTGTGGAGGCGAGATGATGGAGGCTGTGAGTGCTGAGTTCCGAGCGAAACCGCAACGTGTTGAACGGGCTTTGATAGCCAACCGAAGCGTGTTGCTGAACTTGCTCTTGCTAGTTGCTGCGACGTGTCGCCTTGATCTTCCGACTACCCGTCTGCGGGTGGTGTAAACAGCCTAAAAAAGCTGCTGGCGGCCGCGATGGCCAGGACCAGCCCGGAAATAACCCTCCGTTGGTGAAAATTAACATCTTACCGATATTACCAATGGCCACCCTGCCCTGATGTTATTGGACAGGTGGACTCAACAAATAAGTGTACATAAATCTTGCAAGCTCGAAAGGAAAAAAAAAAAAAAAGCAATTGCAACTTGTCATAGTCGGCAGCATAAATGAGACAAGATTTCCCATTAAAAGCCGAGCGGAATAATCCATCGTAAACGGCGGATGTCACTCAGCGCAAATTGCTACAAGGTGTTTTTTTCCTATACATACTTTGGGAACTGTGTGCAATATAAATGTGAGGTTAGCCAGCATGTCTTTGAATTAAACATGGTCATTCCCCACAACACTTCCCATTTAAATAACAGTGAGACGCTCAAGTGTGTGAATTGTTATGCCATGCAAAATAATCTCAGGCACACACACTCACACGCACACTCGCACACAACCATCCCGATTGTTCTTCAACCCGGCTGACATTTGGCTGATATTTAGGGCCTGCTTGTTGCACTGAAAATATTTAGAGTGCAAAGCCTTTTCTTCCCCTGCAGGCGCCGAGCTGTACTAATGATCGCAACCTGACAAACTCTTCTGCCCGATCATGGGTCGTTGTATACAAAAGGGGGGATTGAGTTGATTGAGGTTTTCTACCAGGACCGGCATTCCGATTATCACCGTGTCTCGTGACACTTCCCCTTTAAAGTTAACGTGCAGCGGATTTCTCTTGTGGATCAGACGGCATTAAAAAGGCTTTCAATGTAAACATATAGCATCACCGGATCTTCGAAATCATGAAAGTTTGGGGCATAAAAGGTGTGTCATGACTCGTGCAGAGACGTACTGGGCCAACAAAAAAAAATTGCTGAATTGTATTTTTTCACACTAATTTAAAGGAAAGAGATGCCTGCTTTTTAGTAATGAATTTTGTTTGTAGTTTTTATTTTGTGTATGATTTTTTTAAAAAAAAGACTTCATTTTATATATTGTAGAAATTAAAGTTAGAAAAAATATTCTGAAGATTTTTGTTTAGTCGGAAAATATTTTTATTACTGATTTTGTAAGTTGTATTACATGTTATTTTTGATCATTTCTATCAATTATTTTTTTTAATGCTATGTTATATGCTGTGTTGTGGATTTGCTTTAATTAACGAGACAAATCAATTATTTTGTTGACTTGCTTGCAAGACCAGACCGATTCATTTGCCAGCCAATTTAATCAGTCGACATAAAACAAAACATAATGACATCCATCCACCGCCCCTCACAAAAAATGTGGAATAAATTGTTTGTTTTTTTTTTCTCTGTTGTAAAGTGAAACACAAAAGGACAATTCATTCAAATTCATATATTCTTGTTGCAAGCATTCAGGAAACAAAGCTCTTTTATGAGTTCAATGTTTTTTTTCCCATTAATTGGACAATTAATTGCTTTCTGCAATTGTATTTATTTATTTATTTATTATTTATCGGATGCGGATGTATTTTTGTTGTTGTTGTTATTATTTAAGTTTTGATGATGATTGACTGTCGCCCGCTTTCAGACCTGCCGAGCTTCATCAAATCCCCCGAGGACCAGACGGGCATCTCGGGCGGCGTCGCGTCCTTTGTGTGCCAGGCCGCCGGCGAGCCCAAACCCAGAATCACCTGGATGAAGAAGGGCAAGAAAGTCAGCTCGCAGCGCTTTGAGGTGAGCGCCCACAACCCGTGACTTGCTTGCGCAAACGAGCGTCACACGTCGCCCGGCCTCCGCATCGCTATTGATCCTCAAAGAAAACACACCCGGGCTCCTTCTCTCCAAGCAAGACCAGACAAGGCTCCCTCCTTTGGCTTTAATCTTCTTCTGTCTCAGTTTATCGAGGAGTCTACTTCATCTTTGTGTATCCTCGCGCCCGCATCGGTCAGCTACATTTTCTCCGCCCATGCATCGCTCTTGATGTGGTACTTACTGCCGCTTCTTTCGGCACGTCTGAACAAAAACGATACCTCACGCTGCTTTCCCGACCATCTGTAAGCGAATATCTAGGATGCGGCGTGGCTTCTTTTGTCTCTTCGTTTTCCTTATCTGTGTGTAAAACATCCACTCGAAGGCTAACTAAATTGGTGTCTTATCTAAGTCGTAGTTTCTCTCACCTTTTCAACCAAATGCCGCCTAAGAAACTACTAAAGCACTCCAAGACCCAGCGTGCTATGTCTAAGTCGGGAGTAGCCAACCAGTTGGTCACGGTAGACTGCGGACAGCTGCCAAGTTGACCGCGAGGGCTATTAAGGGGGAAAAGAAAAGTTTTCTTTTTTGGGGGGGGGGAGTGTTGTGTGCACGTTGTTATTAGCTATTACGTGTTATTGTACACAACAGATTGCACAACCTGTCCATCAGAAAGCTTTTTTGTTTAAAAAAAAAAAAAAAAAGTAGGTCACTTTTGTACACTGGTTTCAAACCTGACTTCCTGTCCCTTAAAATACGGCGTTCAGCTGGAAATTTTAGCTCACTGGTCAGCAAACTGGAGACACGGACGCCGCAGTCCACCGCAGCTCCCTTATCCACATACAGAGCGCTCTCTCTCTCTCTCTCTCTCTCTCTCTCTCTCTCTCTCTCTCTCTCTCTCTCTCTCTCTCTCTCTCTCTCTCTCTCTCTAAATATATTTATACATAGATAATGTCAGAAATTAAAAAATATATACTGTATTGTATCATTGGCAGTATTTTCTGTTTTGTGCATTGTTAATGCTTTTAGGTGTTCTCTAACGCTCCTTGTTCGAGCTGCAGCTGCTGTGAAAGCGCTGCATAAATAAAGATGGATCAGTTGTTTCTATGCTGCAACAGACTGAAATGGTGAGAAGTACAAAGTGAACCAACCCCCCCCTCCCCCCACCCCCCCATCCTCTTTCGACTTCCCCCAGGTGATCGAGTTTGATGACGGTTCGGGGTCCGTGCTGCGCATCCAGCCGCTGCGCACGCACCGCGACGAGGCCATTTACGAGTGCACGGCGGCCAACAGCGCCGGCGAGATCAACACCAGCGCCAAGCTGACCGTGTTTGAAGGTGAGACGAGTACCTCCTCCTCCTCCTCCTCCTCCTCCTCCTCCTCACTTCACCTCTGCCGGCTCACAATCCCGCGTCGCCAACATCCACAAGTGGCGTTGGCATCCATTATGCATTCATTTGCATCGGAACGCTTTGAGGATTCCTTGAATTTTTCAGTGTCAGTGTGGAGCAACTCATGTGACGTGAACATTGGGTCCCATAGTTTTATGGAGAGATGAGCATGATAAGCAGCTCATTGGTTGCTGGTGAATCGCACTACTTGGTTGCAAGCACCAGTCGCTCTGGTGATTCGGCTCCAAGTTGTTTTGCAGTATGAAGAAGCACAAAGTGACATCATCTCTGGGAAGATAAGCGACATCGTTGGGATGTGTCTGGGCAGAGCGAACAGATACAGCTTCTCTTCGTCTCATAAAATATGATTTGATCCTTTCTCCATGCTTCCAGAAGGAAATATACCTCATTTTAGTCAGTCATGCACAAAAAAAAAAAAAAAAAAGACAAATTTAGCTTGGTATGAACAGGATTCGGGTTGATTTTCTTGATTTTTTTTGGGGGGGGCGGGTATTTATTCCATACATTGTAGTGCTAGGCAATAATTCAATATGCAATAGACACAGGATCAATATCAGTAGAAATTGCACTCATTATCGATTATTGGAAGCACCGAAGAGGAAATTTGGGAACACAGAAGCTTTTTTTTTTTTTAACGACCAGGTATTTGAAATGGTGGTTTTCCTCCTGAGAGTTGTTTGCTTTGACTTTTTTTTTCATCTTTAATCAGTGTAATTGTTTTTCATTTGGCCTTTCACCAATGGAATTATACTGATTAAAAAAACAAACAAACAAACAAAGAAAAACCTTCTGTGATTATCGATAGGCTATGTGGCTATGTAAGATTCACCCTAGATATGTTTAAAAAGACCTTTGTTTTATCTTTTAATTGACCAGTTAATTTTGCTTTTTCAGAGTTGTTTTCACCTTTTAGTTAAGGTTAAATATTATATTTTAAAATAACAGTTACCTCCATTGAGCCTTTTACATCTGGGTCCTTATTTTGAAGCATTAAAAAGAAGATGTAATTTCCTGTTTTTAATTGAACACTCTCCGATGGGAAAGTGTGCACTTTGGCCCTGATCCAAATTCAGGATTGCTCAGCCTTGGGGAGGTCGACACCTCTTCCCAACACATGTCCACAAAACACAAAATGGCCGCAAATGTAAAGTAGTCAGCGAGCGAGGCGCCGAATAATCACACAAACAGCTTTTGGAGTGTTTTCCACAGATCGGCGTGTCCCCCTCCGCCCCCCTCACCCTCTGCCCACTCCTCCTCGGCGGCGTTAATGTACTTGATGTATGTGGACAGAGGTTCCGCACCCCGTCCCCCGCTCAGCCTTCCATATCAGCGGCTCGTGAGTGTGCATTTCCTCCCTAATTGATTGTAATTTTGTCATGCGGATGCGAGTCACTGCAGGGCTTTGATTCCATTAGAAAAAAAAAAAAAAAAGCCTGCGAGCGAGCCAGTGGGAGGATGAGGGTCATCCGTCGCCATCTCGCCGGACTTGCAGAACATCCCACTCCTTCCCTTTTTCCCCTGCATGCTTATTTGATATCATCGGTCGGGCCTTGCGTAATCTTCCCAAAGGGACTTTTGCTTTACTTTCGACCCCCGCCCCCCCGCACCTCCCTCATCCCTCGCCCTCCCATACTCGTCCTCGTCTTGTGCATCGTGAGGAATTGTGTGGCACGAGGTGAACATGAGTCACACAGCATTAGGCGCAAGTACAAGTGCACAGTCCCCCCAGTTATTGTGGGAGTTATCAGGAAGAACAGCTTCTGCTCTCCTGGGGAAGAAAAAAAAGATTGTGGAGTGTGTCTGTGGGATTTTTGTCACTCATGTTGGGCCCTGAGAGAGGCCACGGCTCGCTGTATTTGTTGCCGTTCGTCGCCGTGATGGGCCTCTTCCGCGCCGATGTCACGCACGCATCTGGGCTGTCACCGTCCGTGCCTTGCTTGTGGGAACGCTTCTCCAAACTGTTCTCACAAAGTCAGAAATATCCAAATGTCTTCAAGTCCACAAAAAAAAAATAAATAAAAATACACAAACGTGCAGTACATTTGACCTTTATTGTATATTTTGGTCTAGGGGGTTGGATTCTGGAACAGAGAAATGACCAATTGTATTCATTTCAAAAGGGATGACTTGAGTTTGGAGCGTGATCACAATACGGAATTTGAATTTGTTTCTCAAGGCACCGCTGTATCATTACAGTCATTAAAAAAAAATACTCGGGCAATTATGCAAAGGACTTGGCTGTACAGCAAACCAGTCAGGTCCTTTGCAGCCGTGTTACGGGAATGTTATACCGTTTCCTAAGAAGGAGGCAAATGCACTTTTAATTGCACTTTCCCTACAAAGGAAACGATTGAAATGTGATCAATAAATGTCTTTCACAGAAAAGACAACATTGCTGCTGTTGATTTCTATCAACAGTTTTCTGTCTTTTGCGCATGAAGCTTTTCCCTCTCAAGCGAATGAGGAGCGTTTCTGACTGTCCCGAGAATTGATCACGATAAGTTTCAGAAGTCATCTCGACATTCTTTGTAGTTTTCCATCAACGGTTACAGAAAAAAAAAAAAAAGACTCGTGGCGATGAGTAAGCGTCAACTGTTTTGAGCCGACAGAAGCGAAACAATGTGAGCTCATACGTCTTGTGTGGAAAACCCGCTCTCGGCCTACAAGCTCAGGCAAGTCGGCGATGGCTGCCTGCACTTACCTGCCCGCAGAGGAATGGGCAGGCGGCCAAAGCAAACGGACGCCCGCTGAAGGTGAAGGCTTCATTGAGCACCTGAAGCGTCTTGACACAAAAGAGACAGATGTTCTCGTGTGAAAACAGACCCGTGTTGCTCAATCGCCGTCGTCGCTCTGCGTTTGTGCTACATATGCGATCTCGTGCTTGCGGATTGGAGTGCTGTCCTCTTTGCCGTTATGTTTATGGTTCTGGATTGTATTTTAAAGCTTTGGCGGGTCATGCAAAAGTCCTTCCGCTCAGCACCTCCAAAGGCGGCAACCTGCCGGGTCCACTGGGCCTCTTCCGGTGCTGCGCATGTTAGAGATCGGCCTTTTATTGTTGGGCAGCCTAAGGCAAACCGACACGATACATACGTTGCGCTGCGCGAGTCAATTTGGCGGCGACATCAGTTGCCGACTAGTTTTTGCAATTTGTATTCATATTTTTGCGCCGTGCATCGAGATGAAAACATAGACGGGTGCTCATTCCGCGACACAAAACCTCTCTAAAGAGCCACGTCGCCAGCCCAGCCCGACTATATTTAGGCTATTGTTTTGTGGACTTGGCAATGCATCAAGTTCACAGCGGCGGAACTCGGCGCGAAAAACACGGGGGCAGCTCGCAAGCAGACGGAGATTAATGGTCGGCCAACCTTAATGGACCGCGCTAGCCCGGAGCTTTGAGAACTTCTACAGCAGCTCAGATGAAAACGAATGGCGGTTGGGGAGGGGAGGGGGGGCTTTTGTTAACATTAACTGCAGTGCCCTTGAGCAAAGCACAAGGTGAGCATCATTCAATACGAGGAAGCCTCACCGCCAACGTATTCATTTAAATAAATGTGTGTATACTTAGGGGTGGGGGGGGGGGGTATTTGATCAAACTAACTACTGTGTAAATGAAATAATTGAAAATGTAAACAACAAAAGGACGTTATTTAAATAAAATCATGTAAAGTAACGATTCTGCTTTTGTACCTGCTATTCAAGTGTAAAAATACATGAACTTCTGAATAAATGAAAAAGATGAACTTTACATATTCCTTTAAATGTGGAATAGCATCATCAAGCAAATAGACATTCATATCATATAGTAAAGTAACTGATGTAAGAATTAAAAAGAAGTTCGCTGTTGTAAAATAAAAGAGAATTCAGTTTCAACTTCAACTCGTGTTGCATTTTTTCGAATTCGTAACCGTAGCGCAAGTTGTGCAAGCAAGTGTACTGCTTTGTACTGCTTTGTAAAACTAAATAGAATCAACTTATTTTTCAGCGGGCAAGATAGAGAAAAAGAGAGAGGGGAAATGTAAAAGCAGTCTTTTTTCTTTTCATTTCTTTTTTGGACATTTTTACCTATCGTGCAATTGTGGAAAAAATACTCTGGAAGTCAATTCTTTGGGGTCCAAAGTTACCAAGAGAAAGCGGTCAAATAAAAAGAAAGGCACGCCAGAGCCGCGAAAGCCTGTTTTTCTGACCCTCTGCCAAGTTGGACTTTAGCACTTTGGCATGTCACAAGTCTCCAGTCACTCTGTAATTCATTCTGTCACGCCGTTAAGAGCCCCGCACTTTTGTGTTGCGGCTGTTCTCACGCTATCCAGAGGTCATCCAGACTTCCAGACGCGGCCCAAAGTCATCGTTGTTTTTCGTCGATAACAAAATAATTATCGGCGTCATAGCCCGCTTCTTTCGTCCCTGCCATATTCTTTTATCGGCGTGCCGAGTATACCGGCCACTTGGCAATGACCGTCGGGAACAATGACTCGTTACGTGGGTAACGATGCCTGCGCCCTGACCCTTGCGGCACCCCCACTTGAATTGACGCGCCTCAGCAAATGTCCTGCTAAATGGCGCTTGCCCGGCCGACGTGTGAAATAGCACTCCCGCCGTCTGAGAAGACATCCGAAGCGACACCGGCGTTAGAACCGCGAAAACCGCGCCGCGTTGGAGCGCGTCACTCGGAACGAGATGCGCCAACAAATGTCGCTGCAGTGAAACTCCTCTACAACGTAATCATGTTTGCAGCAAGAAATTTTTCACAACAGGGGACTTTTCACTGTCGCAAATTTTAAGAAAAAAAGGGAAAGAAATTGCGAAATTTACGATCAACATTTACTTTCACTTCCACCAATTTCTTGCACGTCTTTTATTTGGCTTCCTCCATCTTTCATTTTTATGACCTTTATCCTGTCTTCAAGCGTCAAGGCTTTTCTTTT